TATACATAACATACAATATATACTACAAGAAAATATATAAGGTAATATATATACATAACATACAATATATACTACAAGAAAATATATATATACACACACACACACATAACATACAATATATACTTACAATATATACTACAAGAAAATATATAAGGTAATGTATATACATAACACACAATATATACTACAAGAAACTATATAAGGTAATGTATATACATAACACACAATATATACTACAAGAAAATATATAAAGTAATGTATATACATAACATACAATATATACTACAAGAATATATATATATACATAACATAGAATATATACTTACAATATATACTACAAGAAATTATATAAGGTAATGTATATACATAACATACAATATATACTACAAGAAAATATATAAGGTAATGTATATACATAACATACAATATATACTACAAGAAAATATATAAGGTAATGTATATACATAAGAGTGTACTTATTTGTTTCGCACTACTATGAAGTGCTTGAAGAAAATGAAGAAGGCAAAATATTAAAATGCAAGAACTGTGGAAGAGTCTTAAATTTTCGTTCAGGGTGTACCACAGGCATTTTAAGGAGGCATATAACGTATTGTGTTGATGGTATTTATCCGCAAATTCGTCTTTAAGATATTTCAGCAATTTGTGTTATTTTAAAATTATTAGACGTATTTATGCTTCATGTTGTACTTTGTTATTAATTTATTATGCATGGCAATTTAGTTTTACTATTGTTTTGTTAATTTATTTTTTCGTCAAGCACTTTAATAATTAGATTTCTACATATATATTACATATATATTATTTATATAGCCATGATATGGTTTACAAGAAACTGCCTAAAACAAAAAATATTTTAAAAAAACGGAAATAAAAAAGCCCGTTAGGCCCGCTAAGCCCACGAGCCCGGCCCGTTTAGTTCAGGACCATATGGGCTTAGGCCCGTCACGGGCTGGTTCCACCCGTTGAGCCCACGAAGCCCGGTACCGTGAGGCCCGGGACCCGCCAGAGTCCGGGACCGCCAAGCAGGCCTGTTAAGCCCGGCCCGTTTGGCCCGTTTAGGCCCGGGCCCAGGCCAGAATACAGCACTGAACATTACTCTTAACATTTACATGTTGTTAAGCTGGCAGCCTTGTCCCAAACCAGCTGTACAGACGAACTGTCTTAACATATTATTTTAGTAGATGAATTGTTATTAGACCTGAACTGTAACAGGACATTCCTCTGTGTTTTCCTGATCAAGAAGATGTTTTCTCAATGTCGCTCCTTCTTTATCTTGGTTAGCAATTTTTTCCTCTTCATTTTTACCCCATAAGACTAGGTAAACCCCTGCTGCAATCAGAATCCCCCCAAATACCCTGCATACAATTAATTGTCAATAATTCACTTTTAATCCAAAACACGAATGCGCGCTGAAATTTATCAAGAATCATAACATATGGCGATCATTCTTTTCCCATTTATGGACTTACCCGCCTGAATACAACCGATTACCAAGAAATACAAAGGCCAAGACAGCAACTACTACTGTTTGCAGAGGCTGGAACGTGGCGGTCAACACTGGCCCTCCTTTCTGAATGCACCAAGTCACGAGAGAATATACAACTCCAGAAAATATAATACCCTATAATGCAATCACAGTTTGAGTCGACATACTAATTATACGCTCATTGGTGCAATCATGTGAAACTAAAAGGATAGAGGATGATTTAAGTTTTAGGGATCTTACAACATATAGAATCGTCAAAACCTCCTTGCCAGACTGAATTCGCCAATTTCTTGGATCCCTTTCTGTAAAAGCAGTTACAACTAGGAGCTGGATTACTCCAAAAAAACATGGAAATGTGGTAAGTGACAATTTTGCGGGGTAATTTTTCATCATAGGAACCTGCATATTTTACCATGTGCCGTGAGACGCTAATTGATGGTATGTGTATATACATAGAGGTATTAATTCTGATATAATTAAGTAGTAAACGAAAGTGGACCTCCTCGGATAGTTTAAGCTTTTAGATGAGGTACTCACAATTCAACCAGAGTTATGTCCACAAAAACTGTGTTAACTGCTAATTCTTTTTCTATTTACAGCAATAATGGAGCCAAAATGGTCCCAATTACTGGTAGTATTTTAACAATGCAAGTGATCTCGAGGGCTACCTGAAGCACCATATAACCAGCATATGATAAGCACTGAACAATAAAGTAAACACAACCCAACGTCCTATTCAGCATTTTCTCTGGAGAAGTAGTTATATCTGTAGAAAAACCACTTCCCCCTAGAAGGGGAGGGCCTTTATATAGGGTGATTATTGTGGCACCTCCAATACTTGCTATGGTTCCAAGAATTTTTGCCATGCCATCCCTCCTCTTAATATGCACTTCTTCTAACCTGAGGTACATATACAAGCATATACTTTACGTATACTGATGAATTTATTAGTATGAAATAGTAAAAAATGAACAAATACAACCATCTAATTAGATAGTACGGTGTACGTGCTATTTCATAAACAGCTATGATCTTATACCTTAAAACAGAAGCCATGACAAAAGTAATTGCAGGAACTGAGTTTTGCATAGCTGATGCATAGGTAGGTGATGTATAATACAACCCTAAGATATAAAGTGATTGGTTTGCTGTGACTCTGTGAACCAGGAAACAAAACTCTGTTATTAGAGCGAATGGAAAGTAATAAAAGCTAGTACTAATATTTAAAATTTCTTTAAGAAAATTGGTCAGTAGAAGAGAAATTATACTCTACTTGCTTACCCTATTAAACCGAGGAAGAAAAACTGAACCAATAGGGAAAATGTGAGGGGTGGTCTATCCTTCCTGTATAAACGAGAACACAAGAACTTAAAGTTATACATCTCAACCAGATTAAGAAAGGAAAAATAACAATACGTTCGTAGTTGTGGCTGGAAATTAGGTATCATTACTCACTTTTCTAAAAAATAAGCAAAAGGTCCTAAAACAAGTAAAGCAGTGATGTTTCTGTAAAGTATAAAAACAATTTTGCTGACACCAATATTGAGAGCAATTCTTGAGACAATATGCAATCCTGCAGAGCAGAAAACCATGACAAACAATGCTGCAACAAGCTTCAGTTTTCCAGGTGTAAATTCCATAATCTTTGGTTCTTGTAATTACTTCCTCTAGGGAAGATTAACTAGCTTACCTTGTATTCCTTATTTACACTGTACACACCAATGAAAGATGTCATTTTCTGCAGAAAGAAAAATGCATACTCTGGGAACTGTAAGGTCCAAATCATTCCAAACCATTCTTAATTGACTGATGTACCTATAAAAGAATTTGATTGGAAGATATCCATTCTTGGACGAGTGGAGGAGAAACTTTTGCTATTTCCCCGTTGGTCCTTGATCATTTTCTGTAAATATAGGAGTTTCTCCTCCGTTGAAAATGCACCAACAAAGAGAGCGAAAGCAGTGAGAAGTATCACAAACAGAGATCAAGATTTAAAGTTTATAGGTTCCTACGTACAATTACAATCAATTATTTATAGATAATTTAGTGAATTTTTTAATACATCTACAAGATTTGTGCAAAAACTACTGGGTTTAACCTATACTGGTCACAAAAGATATTAAAAATAGTTTATGAGAAAAATAAAGAGTGAGAGCGTTATTAATTTTGCGGTATAAATTTTGAGAGCGGCATAAAGGGTGAAAAATCAAAAGTGGATTCTTTATTTTGAGTGTAATAATCTCTTGACCATTTTGCTCTAGTGAATTATTTTGCTCCTCTCGAACCGCGGTTTTTTCCTTATTCAAAAGGGTTTTCCAAGTTAAAATCTTAGTGTCGTTATTACTCTTTTTTATTTCTTTTTGGTGCTCGTTATTATTCTCAATACATTCAGTAAATATTATTTCTATCTGTTATCTTTTCCAGCCATTGGTATTAGAGCACAAGTTTTGCTCATTAACATAAATATTTTTTGAGGCCAGTCGTACTATACTCGGCGAGAAAAAAATGACTTGAGCAAAGTACGAGGTAGCAAAACTTCAACGGTGAGAGCGATTTCTCGACAAGGCAAAGAAGGATGAGGGATTTGCTCATTAATATAACATAAGGCACTAGAAGGCAATTTGCTTTACTTTCTTGGCATAATCCATTGCTTTAAAAGAGTATACAAAAGCTAGCAGATGTGCACCTATAGAACAAGGATGATTTACCTTTTCCATTCCCATGGGAAAGAGGGTGGGCATCTACATCCTTTCTGATCTGCCTATCAGGTAAACACTAGTATTACTCCAACATAGCAATATCATGATTGCTTAAACTATGAGACAAGTAAACAAGCTCCTCATCCAACTGCATCATGTAGATGGAACCATTTTGGGCAATTTTGTCTGAAGGATGCAACTGAACTACACCACCAAGGATTGTGGCGGGATGGCTAGGACCCCTCCACCCTTAACCAGAGGTTTCGGGTTCGAGTCCTGAAAATGAAAAAACTCGTATAGGGAGCACTGCCCCCTTTAATGGGCCTTACGTTGCGCGAATCCGGATTAAACAGGGCCTCAATGAGTGTACCCGACACCAGGTGAAAAAAAAAAAAGATGCAATTGAACTACAGCAAAATGGTTAAGAAATGATTCTATCCAAGTTAATGCATCTGATAAAATATCATAGACAAGAATAGCACATGACTAAAAGATGGCCATCTGATTGTTATTTTTCACTTTCAGTGTATCATAGGATCATGGTAAGCAATGCAAGTTAAAGGAGAGGCAAAATCAAAAACTATAGAGTCGGTACAGGAATTGTTTGAACTTATCAAGGAGCAGATTCGAGGGACAAAATTTTTTGACAGGGAGCAGATAGGCTACCTGGATATAGTGATGGGTTGGAAATCTCTGTGGCTCAGTGCAATGGAGGAAGTAGGAGAGAAGAAGCTATTGTTACCACTTTTCTCTCTCATGTTTTAAGGTAAATCGAGCTTTATTCTGATGGTTTTATATTGATGTTACTGTGACATTTATGTAAAGAGTCCCTCCCATCTGCCATATCAAGAGCAGATGATATGTGAACCAAGATGAAACCGAGGCCACCAACAATCTCGATAGTAAAAATATCATCAATAACACCTCTGAATCATTTGATTCTGCTACAGTTACAGTATTATATCTACAAGCTAAGAATATCTGCAAATAAGAAGCTAATTCTATACCCTTGTAATATAGTTTCTAGAGACTTCTTCATTCTGAGAATAAGATCTACTAAACATAAGTGGAAAACCTGAAACGGTGAAGGAGACAAAGGCTTTCTATAAACATTGACAAATTTTTCTCCTAATTCCTTTACATATAGCTTATACTTCACAATTTCATCAGTATAGTATTTCGATTCAATGTCATGTGCATTGAGAAAGCCAAACTATAAATACATACAAAAGCTTTTAGGAATAGCCAACACGTCGACAACGGACCCAGAAAGCTGTCCCTCCACTCCGTCCTCGAGCAACAGCTATTTCCTCATCTATGTAAAACCAGATGAAAAATGGATCCTTATCCTTATTGCTCGGCTCTCTTTCATCTTTTCCCTTAATACTGATATTAAAGGGATTCAATGGTCCAACTTTTATCCGAAGCTGCTCAAATACGAAAGCAAGAATCCTATTCTTCCATGAAAACCTCCCTTCAAATGTCAAGAATCCAAGAGGCCCCAAGAAAACACCATTTTCGATCCTCTTTGCCTAAAATTTTGTTCAAACATGTCATTCATCTTGTGATTAAAAGAAAAAAGCATCTATGCTCCATAGTGAAGTTGGAGTTCATCGTCTAAATAACTAAAGGAAACTGACATTTTAAGAGAATGAAGGTTGCTTATATAGCACCAATAAATATCATGAATAGCAGTGGGTATGCACTTGTTTTCCTTAAAGTTTCTCTTTCTCTTGTCTTTTAGTTATTGAGCAGGGAAGTGTTTTCTATCATTTTCTTTTGTAGAAGATCTCTAGTATAACAATTGTACACTAGATACACAAATCAGAAATGGGAAAATCGGTTAACAAAATACGTTTATGAAATTGAATTATTTGATTTTATCTCATCTAAAAGTTACATGATAGCTACACAAATGCGGTGACATGTACATATTCTCTTGTTTTACCTTCTATATTAAGAGTAATCTCCTTCATTAACATTAAAAGACAGATAACAAAGACAAGAAGTAAAGCTTACAGCTGCATCAAATCTCTGAATGGCTGTAATTGGGAAATATCTACCTCGTTCTAAACCTTTCTGCAACAAAAAATGCAATAATAATAAGGCTTCGGCATTTACAAACCTCAGCAGTAACTTAACGAAGCACAAAAAGAGAAAGAAAACAAAATGCATTTACAAACCTCAGCAGTAAAAATAAGCATCCACGTCCTCCCCGGAGATTCGGTTCCACCAAGAGTTTCAAGAAACTTTGAAGAATCAATTTTTGCTTTCTCAATCACAGAGAAAGCAGCCATGATCTCCTCTGCTGCAACCTTTCTTGTTTTGGCTGCATTTTTCAGTACTCTTACACTCTCTTCAACTTCCTAAATAAAGTTTTAATTCATACAACCAGTAGGAAAACCAAAAGTAAGTGCCCAGTAAGAATTATTATCCAAATTGCTCACAGTAACTCAGTTAATAAATTTGAACATACTAATCAGCAAAATGGTGTTCTTAAAAAAGGAGCTTTAGCAAATTAATTAAGCTAAAAAGTCAACAGCTAGCTGATATGAGCCTACGTGAGTTGGATATCCAACTCACGGTATACTACTTTTTAAATGGTCTTAAATTTGGGTCAGAAGCGGACCTAAGTTACGGGTTGAGGGGTCACGGGACCCCGTTAGCCTCGGCAAAAACTCTGTATATATCTTATATATATCTGTACATATAGAGATGGGACCCCTCAAATATTTTATTTGTGACCCCATAAAATAGAAAGGGGAATGGCAGAGGTTGTTGTTCGGGTGGGTTTTGTTTCATCCTTTGTTGGATGACGCGGGTTCGATACCCAACTTCAGCGTCTTCTCCTCCTATCTGTTTTTGTTCTTTTTTCTCCCTATCTGTTTTTGTTCTTTTTTCTCCCCATCTATTTTTGTTCTTTTTTCTCCTCCTTTCTATTTATATTTGATAGCAAACTACTTTATTTTTTATTTTTATCTTTTTTTGAATTCAATTATAGTTTACTACTAATACATAATAGTCAATTTAATTAATTTTATTCCTTTTCAAATATCCCCCTTAAATTTAAAAGCCTCAAATTGCACAAATTGCAACATATCGCTCCCCTTAAATCCTATCTATTTTTGTTCTTTTTTCTCCTCCTTTCTATTTATATTTGATAGCAAACTACTTTATTTTTTACTTTTATCTTTTTTTGAATTCAATAATAGTTTACTACTAATACATAATAGTCAATTTAATTAATATTATTCCTTTTCAAATATCCCCCTTAAATTTAAAAGCCTCAAATTGCAAAGTATCGTTCCACAAATAGAAAAATACAAATCATTTTGGCACAAATCTTCTTCAACAGCTACTTTGACACCGTCTCGACAATGGCAGCTAAGAGAGACTCTTCTTCAGTTCTTTGACTATTAACATACTCTTAATCTTAATTTCTTTAGTAAGTTTTTGATAATTTAAAGTTTGAGCGCCCTTTTGATCACTGACCCCCTTTTTTAAATTAAAAAACTAGAAATTTCAAAGTGCGAAACATGCATAATCAAACACCTTCCTATCCCATAGAACCTATTTTGCGAAAAAAATTCTCTCTCTGTGTGGTGCTTTCTTTTTCTTTAGAACTTCTTGTTTATACTTGTATGATAAGTCATTATAATCATTAAGTTTTCAAAGAGTTGCACTCCGAATTTTATCGCTAGTGATAAGCATACGGTGGTACCCCGTCGTGCTCAAATCCTAGGTCCGCCTCGGATTTGGGTAGGTATATAACTTTTGAAACTTGTGGTCTTAAATATTGTTGTAATATTTGTGTTACTACAAAGCTTCTCATTAAAATGAAAAGTTTAAAGTTAATTATTTCTAAACACAAATGCGGCAACCTTTATTGAACGAACTAATAAAGAAATAGCTTCAAATAATTGGAATGGAGGGAGTAATTTTTTCCGAACAAACATATATTACTGAGTTCAAATCCTTTTAGTAAAGGAATACTCAGCACCCACTGGCTTAAAAAACCTAAATTAAAAATACAAAAGAAAATGAGAATTATACCTGATTGGGTTGTTTGTTTTCCTCTTCTTGAATAAGAATGGAAGCTTGAGAATTTTGGTCATTTTCGTCAAAGGTTGCTCTGGTTTTAAGAGCTGTGAATCTCAGAGAAGTTTGTAACTTTGAGTGATTAAAAGGAACTCCGAAACTGCAGTTGAGAGAAGCTTGAGAGGAACAAAAAATTCCCCAACTCAAGGGGATGGAAGAAGAGAGCAGCAGCATCTCATAAGTGGCTGTAGTTATTTTAGTCCTACACTTTTGGTTTCTGATTATATACCTACTGTTATTGCAATCTATACGCGCTTCTTTTTCGTCCTTTTGTTTTTTTTTTTCCTTTGGAAGTGTAGTTCGGTTCGGCCGGTTATTTTATAAAAATTTGTATCATATTAATTTTTTAGTTATTCTATTATATATAATCAAAATTAGACTTTTTTAAACCGTCTCAATCATGTCGGTTTCTCCTCAGTATCGGTTCGATTCGGTTAATTTTTCGTATTTTTTAAAATATCATGTAAAATTCACTAGTTGAAGTAGAATGCAATAACATATGTTCTTTTATAGGACGTAGCAAAATTCTCTAGATATTTTTACTGTTTAATGGGTGATGAATTAAAGAAAAATGAAAGATGGCTAGAGTATAGATCCATTAACTATTCTACAATAGCTTAAAAAGAAACAAAGCAAACGCAGAAAAAAAAATATAAATCACACGAGTGGAACGATATTAATCAAGCTAGGACTCAAGAATAATGACTATAGAAGATTAAATATTTAAAAAGATAAATCTAAATTATATGAAAGGAAACGTATTCAATACATTGTAGTTTGCTACTCATAATCGCTAGAATACTTGTGTCTTATTAAGATATTTGAAATAAATTAGTTTAAGTAGAAGTAGCATAATAGGCTTTAGGAATTAGTATTTTTAATTTAATTACTTGTTGGCTTGTAACAGTTTTCATAATTCAAAAGCCCAAAGAAAAATTTAATGCATTATTATTTTTAAACTTACTATATAAATATATTTTTCACATGTAAATGTATTCAGTACGAATCGGTATTTTTTCGGTTTATTTTTATAAAATAAAAAACATACCCTAATTATCGGTGTGGTTATAGATTTATATAAAAACCTACGATTTCTTTAAAAGAAACCTAAAAATCAGTTCGGTGCGGTACAGTTCGGTCGGTTTAGTCGGTTTTCGAATATCCATTGACACCCCTAGATACAACCAACAACAACAACAACAACAATTCAGTGTATTCGGAGTCCGGGGAGGATAGTATGTGTGCAACCTAATAGAGTTCGAGGAGGATAGCATGCATGCAACCTTACCCTTGTCCTACTCAGTTTGGGGAGGATAGTATGTATGCAATCTTACCCTTGTTGTATTACCATAAGTAAAATATGAGGAGGGTAATATGTACACAATCTTACCCGTGAAGGGCACAGAGGTTGTTTATAGGAATTTTTACCTCCTATAGCAAAGGTTGATACTTTATTTATTTTAAATAAATACCCTTTTAAAAATTATATTCCATAGCTATCTTTTGATTTTTATAGCCAAATATCTATTTATGGTTACCTCTTACCCTTAAGCCATAAAATATTCTTTCTATTATTTTTCTCTCTCATTCTTTCAGATTTTTCTCCACCCTCTCTCTCAACGCCAGTCTTTCTCCATAAATAAAATCACTATTCTCCACTGATTCATCTCCATTGTCTCGCAAATTTTCATTGTCAGTGGGGCTGGGGCTCTGAATCAATGTCGTAATCAAACCCTAGAGAGAAAGATCTGAGATAGGATCCCCTCCATTAATATAATATCCAGTAATTCTCAATAGATTAATTAGATGATGCCATGTGTGCAGCTGAAATTTCAATGCTAATTCTTTCTTTATAATGTTTTGTATTTGCTTAATTAATAAATAATACTTAGAAAATAAAAACAAAAATGGACATGATCAGTTTACGCCATTTTCTTCACTTTCCTCTACTAACTTTGTTCCTTTTTCAAGCTTGTGATTTTCTTTACACACATTATTACACTTTCACATTATTTTATAATACCTAGAATCTCATTTGCTTCATGTTTCTAGATGCCAATTTTTTGAATATTCACTTAGTAGAAGAAAATTCAATTGAATTTTCAGAGAAAACATACCTTGTTTCTGCATAGATATGATGAGAATTTTCTTAAATTTAAGATTCACAAATTGATCTTTGTTTGAAAAAAGAATGAGCTGCACCATCTTTTGTCTCTTTATTAAATAAATAAATAAATAAATAAATAAATAAATAAATAAATAACAGAAACTATAATTCATTAATATTGCAAATAGAAAACTCTAAAACCTACAAAGTAAATCCAAGCCTTTGAAACTTCAATTGCACACGTGGCATACATCTTGGTAGCTATTGAGAATTACTGGATATTAGATTACTGCAGGGAATCCCATTCCGAAAGATCCACCCCATTCTGATGGCCGTTGCTTTGCAATGAAAAAGGCGAAAGCAAATCAGGTAACCCCGAAGAAATCAAGGGCATGAGAAACGACTATTGAGCATTCTACAACAGAGCATAGCAATGCAAATGAATATTCGATCGGTGAGAATGGAATTGCATGATGATTTAGTAGTGGAGATCATCTCCCACTTGCCCTTGAAGTTTGCAGTTCAATGTAACTCTTTCTCTTACCATCCTCATTGCTACTTTTCTTCATCTTCCAAATTCGCAATTACTATCAAAAAAAGACAATTTATTATTGAAAATAAGGATTTTTTTTCGTTTTTGCGCCAAATTTTGAGAGTTTCGAATCAGAATCGCGGCCCTCTTGACGAGACGACATTAGGGTTGTTCTTGAACAAAGATGACGGAGTTTGGGGCTGAGCAACTTGAAGAGTTTGTTACCTTTTTTTCATTGTATTTCAATGTATCTCGCTATATTCTATGTATTTCATTGTCTTTTTTTCATTATATTTCAATGTATCGCACTGTATTCCATGTATTTCATTTTATTTACTGTCTCGCTATATTCCATAAATGTATTCATATATTTTTTTTAATTAATATAATTTATGTATTCAGATGTATTATATAATTTCTCTAAAGATTGCTATGTTTTTGGGGTGTTTTTAGTTTGAGAATCTTTTTTATAACTGAAAATACAAAATTTGTGTGTTATAATTGAGTTTGAGTTATATTAGGAGTCTATTATATTAATTGATTCACTCGTTTAAAAACAGCTAAATAGACCATGAATTGCGCCATTTACGTTATTGTATTCACAAATACATATCTTGAATATAGTCGAATAGAATAACCTGTCCAGCTATAATCACCTATTTCACGCTGTGACTACAGTCGAATACAATAATCTGTCTAGTTGTAATTCCCTGTTTCACACCGAGAAATGCTACTGTATTCATGAATACAGTAGCTTAAATACAATACACTCTAAAAAACATAAAAACATTGTTATAGGAAGTAATATAGTAAGTGGTAGCTACAACTAGCTAATAGTAATCACTAAACAATAGTGGTTTGTGAGAATTTCTCTTGTTTCTAATAGACTCTCTTATGAAGTGATATGTAATAAAAATCTAGTTTTGAAAATTAGTCGTGTAAAAAAAAAACTAATTTGAAAACTAGTGATGGTCCATTACAATCCCTTATAATAGAATTCAGTTGCAATGTCCGTAGCCTTGAATATCATTGCCCGTACTACTATGTTTAAAAGAAGAAGGCTGACCACAACAAATTCAATGTAGATGCAATTTTTTTCAAATATTATTCAGTTATCAGTTATACATATAATTCAGTAGAAGTCAACCATTTAGGTTGTACGCACTATTCTTGTGCCATATCAGCGTATATTGTACAATAGGCAAATTAGAGTATTTCTAGAACCATTTTACTATGGATAATCCTGTTAAACTAACATGATCGTTTCTCGCGTAACGTTCAGATTTTGATATGCTGATTCACACACTACTTTAAAAATGTTAATTTCGTAGGCGTCATAATTACATCGTAAGTCATTTACCGTTGAACAGAAGGCGTCCAATTAATTTACAGAAAGAGAAACAATGGCATATGCATAGAGTTCGTTACAACTTGACAAAAACCCGTTTCTATTAGGTTTTCCTTTTCTTGTTTGGAATTAACAAACCAGAACTGATGATTAATCACAAAATGTCTGACTTCGCTCAATCTTGCCAGTGTCTCATTTTTTGGTTCTTTACTTTTTTTATAATCCTGATTTTTTTTTTATATATATAACCATAGTACAAACCAAATAATGCAAAGAACTTTCCACTCTTTTGTAACTTATTTCATATAAAATGAGAAAACAAATATTCACACCAGCAATATATGTTATATTTGGCCAAGCTTCTCTAATTCTAGAAGCATTTTTTTCAAAAAAAAAAAGTACTTTTTTTTCAAAGTTGAAGTATTTAGAAACTTTAAAAGAAAAAAAAAGTGTTTTTGAAGAGAAAGCAGAAAAAAGTAACTTCACTTCAAAAGCACTTTTCAAAAAATACCCTTAGAAACATTTTTTAAAAGCTTGGCCAAACACTAATTGTTGCTCAGAAGTGCTTTCAAATTAATTAGCCAAACACAAACAGTTTCTCACCAAAAGTACTTTTGAGAAGAGCACTTTTGCGAAAAAAACATTCTCAAACTAAGTTGATTTTTGCAGCTTGGCCAAACAGGCTATACAGGCTATATATGTGCTTGCGAAAAAAACATTCTCAACCACTGCATACGAAGCAGGATCTAACACTAATCAGGTTCAACGAACTTGAAAACTATATCAAAGACCTCACTTTTAAAAAAAAGGACAGCACGGTGCACAAACACATTCCGTATTTACGCGGGGTCCTTGAAAGGGCCTCACCCCAAGGGATGTGATGTAGACAGCCTACCCAAATACAAGCACTAGTGGTTGTTTCCACGGCTCGAACCAATTACATACAGGTCACACTAAGACAACTTTACCGTTGTTCCAAGGCTCCCCTTCCAAGAATGTAAAGCTCTTGATATACGGAGCCATTAGTGACTCCAAGAATTCACTAGCCTAAACAATAAAATGTCAACATTCCCCGTGTACATGGGAGCAAGACCGGCCAGTCCAAAACAAGGAAAGGTGTGGAGTTGGGAGTCGCGAGGGTTGGAGAACAAAGGACTTTGAGAGGAAAGCATGTTGATTCCATATACTATAAGATTTTGTTCTGCCCTTGTTACATACCCATTGTATATAGGAAAGGATGTCTAATATTATGTCAGAGAAAAAATATAGGGCCTGGATTTCATAAAGATCCATCTCAATATCTTAGTGCAAGGTGTATAAGCTCAAGTTTCGCCAAAATTTTAGTGCAAAAATCGTGATGGGCAAAGTGTATAACCAAATAATCTCATATTGGACACTGTTCTAGATAACAATACATCATTCGATGCTAGTAAAAAGTAACAAATACCAAACAATACCATGCTATGCAGACTCCAAACTCGTGAATACTTGTGTGCGTATCTGAAAGATCACCAACTTCTCTTCCAATAAATGCTGCTGAGAACCATAAGTTTCTGGTGTTGCTGCTTCTTTGTCGGTGCAATTAAAACCTTTTATGCTCATCTTGCCTCTGAAGACTGTTCAAATAGTAAAGGGTCGTGTGAGTGATCATCAGCTTCAAACTGGATTGTAAAAGCAACTGTTCCAGGAATACATCGATGAATGCAAAACTTAAAAACTCAAAAAAGGCTCAATCCTCTTAACTTAGTTTGATTAGATAATATCTAGAATGTCACAACTGGAAGCATGGCTATCTTTGTCGTGTCTACGCTCCTATCATCATTCATCAACCAAAAAGGTTTATGTGAAGTACCAACAAAAAGAAACCATCTCCACCTTTTAAGTTACCAGGTTGCTTATGCATTATCAGCAACAGTAGGCAGTGCAGTAATCTTCCCCACAGCAACAGTTTTCCCTACACAAACGGCAGTCATTATGATCACATGTTGCATGACGTGCAGAGAAATAAAAACAATAAGCTTACAGAGCACAATGGTTCTTACCTTCAGTGCGAAGAGTGAATCGTCCAAGTTGTGCAAAGTCGGAGAACTTCTCTACACATATCAGATTATTCACCTGGCATGATAATTTGGAAGAATTAACTTCGAGGCAAAACACAACTAAAGGACCAGGTTTTCAAAAAATTTATAAGGGAAGGGTGAAAGAAACAGGACAACGGAGTTCAAGGTAAAGAAAAGATTTTATCCCCTAACTAAATAATCTTTCATCATTCTTCATTAGATAGGCCAGACAAGCAGCATAGAACACATTCTGCTATACTATTAATTAGACTCTCAATCAAACAAGATAATTAACAGTTTCAAGAGATAGAGGAATTCACAAACATTTGCGTGAGAATGGTGACTTCTTCTGCAAATTCAAACGGTAACAAAGAGGGAACCACAAACATGAAGACAGCACCTAAAGAGTCGAATCCAAGAACCAATTCTTTCCTTTCTAAAGGTCCACCAGGTACTATTAAATACTATTTGAAGAAAAAGGTCCACCAGGTACTCAGTTAGACAGCTAACCTGAACACGGCATAAAACAATAGCACCGTTCTTTACAAACAGAGGTTTTTTCTTCATAGGTTTCTTTGTCTTCAAATCAATCTGCTGCATCAGTTCAACAATCTCACATTCCTCAACAACAGAATGGATGTGCAACACAGCTTTGTAGCCAGCAGTAAAAATAGCCTGAGCCAACATGGAACTTCATTAACAGACTGGTTCCACATGTGCAATTTTGAACCCAAGTGAGGTAATGAAATGCTAAGTTAAGAGTTGGATTCATACATTGTCCAACAGCTCAAGGATCTGTAACTGTGCAACAAACTCAGTAACTGCATGTATTGGCTTTGCTGCAAACATGAAACTTGTCAGAAATAACAAAAAACATGAAAGCCATACATAACAAAATGATAGCTAAAAGAAACAACTTGAGGTTACAATATGAAACCACATTTGAATTGTTCTAAACCAAGACAAAGCATTTACCTTCCTCTCTTATCCTTAACCCCAAAAACTTCCTCTTATTCTAAGTTGCTCGGATACGGGTGCGACACACGGGTGCGGATCTAAAGATCGGATCCTTCGAGATGTAAATTCTTAGATACGGGGATATGGATCCTAGTATGGATACGGGTGAGGGAATCCGACAAAGTAATTCAAAAAAATAAAAATATAAAAATATAAAAATATCTCTAAATTATCAGAAATTTTGTGGAATACTTACGTATAGCTTGTAAAGTGTGAATTTCTTTTTTATTCTCAAGTTGTAGATAAGTAAAGGATTGATTTCCCAGATAATGTATGATATTTTCTTCAAATTTACCCTAATTCCGGTTCTGATTTCAGGAATCAAATTGAATTTCCTCTCGAATTTTTCTGTCCATCGTGGGCAAAGTACCCAAAATTGTTTTACCAGATCCGGTACGGATTCCATACCCACCCCATGCTAGTTTTGTGTCGACACGGGTGTGGCACCTAAACTGTCATGTCCGGGCAACTTAGCTCTTATCTTTGTTATCAGGGAACATAGTGATTGACTACAGATGTATGCTACCTCAAGAACAGCTACACATCAATTTTTTTTGTGTGCTTTTTCCGGATAAATCTCAATGTTAGTTTGCAATCAAATTACTCCTACGACATTCTTTTATATGTTGCACATATTCATGCAAGTCTTTGTTCTAAATATCAGCAGCGCATCAGCTTCCCATAGCTCAATACCCAACTAACCTACCTGCTTGAATAAAGTGCTGTCAAAAGCTGTAACATTTGCACCCTCAGAACACGTCTTATCTGGCAAATGGTCTCAAGACTAAAATTTACAAATCCCCACAAAAGTGATTAAAACCACAGGCTGAATGGTGGACAGTCTAGAGAGAGAAAGACTCCAAATTTTTTGAAGGCAAAACACAACGTTAGAATTAAATATACTTCTTTAGGTAGCTCACTGCTGTAACCTGACTTTACAGGGTGTTAATGGTACTATTGACGTAACCAGGGACTAACATGAATTGTAACTATGTTTTGCTGCACTCAGTGTTTCTTTCTTATGTCAAAAAAATTGACCTTATTCATAAAAAGAATGTGGTTACAACCCCCAAAATCCATATTTTTTAGGGTGCATGGAAACATGAGGATTGACTAGGAAATATATAACAACTACGACTTAATCCCAAACTAGTTGGGTTTGATTATAAGAATCCTCAATATCTATTTTGCTCATTTGAAACAATTTCAATAAATATATTTTTTGTCAAGAAGAAAACAGCAACAATTTTTTTTGTAAGTCAAATAACTTCATTTGATTAACCATGATGGAATCAGAAATACTAGATTAGTGTACATTGTACAACGAATGTGCTTTAGAAACCCCAAAATTCTATCCAACTAGACACTAGTAATACATGATGGTATTTCCTCTTTACACCCAAAGAAACGAATGAAATGGAAGACAAATTTTTACTTCTTGGGTGAAGACCTCTCCTGGAAAAGTAATTTTTGTTTGACACATACAGCATCATCTAAAAACAGAACACCCTTCGTTTCTTAAATTCTCAAAAGTAAAGATAGTTAACCGCTTTGTGCACCCAAGTGAAAAAAAAGCTATTTTTGCATATATTTTTTTTAGCAAATAAACTGTAACATAATTGGCAGCCCATTACCAATTACTGTAGCTGTTATGTTATGTGCAACACCACTTTCTTTTTTTTTTTGATAAGGTATGTGCAACACTACTCTTTCTCAAAACAGGTAATCATATATGCATATTTGTTTACATCACATGGTCGATAATGGTACAATATTTCCTCTACTATTCAACTTGTTAGCAATAGAAACTGTGACAAATAATTGACATATATCAAGAAGATAATGAATGCTAATTTCATTATAACGAGCAGATAGATTAATGGGAGAAAACATACCAACACTGCACAAGACAAAGCCTGACAAAATGTCATCTTCCTCTACTCCAGATAACCTGACACGTACGTTTTCTCCAGGACCAACATGCCTTACTTTGTCTTCATCACAGAATATGGCAAGAACTTTTACAGCAGCCTATAAATCAGCTGGTGAGATGAATTTCCTCAAGTATTTCATCAATCACAAAACTCAATACAGTTAAGGTATAAAAGGTCCAAAAGATAGCACCTTATTTGGCATAACCAGTAGATTGTCACCTTCACGTATGCTCCCAGACTCAATTTTACCCATAACGACAGTTCCCATGTCTTTGAATTTGTCAATAATAGGCATTCTGCAAAGAAAATGGAAATTGAAAAACAAGTAAACAACTTGGCAAAAGTTAAGAAGGAAATTAGGAGAAAAGAAAAGTAAGAGAAGTTGCTTATCATCCGGTGAAGGAAACAAGAAAGATAATGCATTGAAAATAAAAGATTAAAAATATATTGCAAACAGAAGTATAGAACTTGCAAATCTTACTCCTTTGCCCCTGCAGTAAATTTACTCTAAGTTTAGATTTTTCTTTCACATTTAAAGCTACAGTGCAAATAGAGCATTAGAGCTTGCAAGTCTTACTCCTTAGACCCTCTTTTACTTCCCAAGATTAGGTTCTAATTTTCTTTCACATTTCTACTTTCGCTTCAATGCTTTGCTGGTGTTCCCGCAAATCAAGCTTCATAGATGAAAAAAGGTAGCAGGCAGTACACAAACAAGTTACTTGGACTCTTCAATAATGCCATTGAGTACGTGTCGGATCCTCCAAAAGTAGTGGATTTTGGAGGATCCAACACGGGTGCGACAACATTTTTGGAGAGTCCGAGCAACATAGAATATAACTTGCAAGTCTTACTCCTTTGCCCCTTCTTTGCAATTTACTTAAGTTTAGATTTTCCTCACACATTTAAAGGTACTATGCAAATAGAGCTTGCAAGTCTTACTCCTTAGACCCTCTTTTACTTCCCAAGATTAAGTTTTAATTTTCTTTCACACATTTCTGCTTTCGCTTCAATGCTTTGCTGGTGTTCTCGCAAATCAAGTTTCATAGATGAAAAAAGGGAGCAGGCAGCACACAAACAAGCTTTATCACTCTACCTAAGGCCAAAAGAATTTTGTTCTCCGCAATAAGAAATGAAAAGAGTATCACAGCCCACAAGAACAAGCGTATAACAAACATTTTTATATTGTGATTCGTTAAAGACTGTCAAGCAAAATTAACCAGAAAGTTAGTGCTGAATTAGGAAATATGGGTAGAGCAAGAAAACAGAAACAGGAAGATGCCACGGGATTAGCAGAATGGGTTCTAGAAGTACCTTAATGGACCATTAGGATCTCTGGGTGGAACTTCAACAGCATCAAGGGTTTCAAAGAGACATGGACCATTCCACCATGGGCATACACTTTTCTCCATTCTAGTTTTCAGATTTGAACCCAAAAGCCCAGAGATCGGAAGGAACTGAACATCTGATATTCAAGCACAAAAAAAACAGAAATCAAACATCTGCAACTTAGCTAATATGTCGATTCTTTAAACAAAGTAGAGAATAACAGTCAACAGATTCACATTCAAGATGTGAAGATAAATAGGATTCAACATTCAGCTCTTTCAACATTCATCTCTCTCTCTCTCTCCTTGTATTCCACTTCATTCCCAGTAGAAAAAGAAAAATACAGAACACATAAGACATTAGTTAGAAAATAATGGCTGGTGGCTCAACATGCCAAAGAAAATCATCCAAAAGAGTCTATTCTTGGCTCAACATGCCAAAGAAAATCATCCAAAAGAGTCTATTCTTTTCCAAGATATTTGGAACATATTTAAAAAGTACTCCCTATGTTTCATTTTATGTGACCCTGTTTAATAGGGCATTGAGTTTAAGAAAGGAAGACTTTTGAAACTTGTGATCTTGAACCTGCCATAACACTTATATTGCTATAAGACTTTTGAAACTTGTGGCATTAAAAATGTCATAACATTTGTTGGGATATAAAAGCCTATCATTAAGGGTAAAATGGAAGTTTATTAAATTGCTTCCATATTAAGTAAGGGTAATTTGGAACGGACTCCTCTCTCCTCTCTCTATATATATATGTATTCCACTTCATTCATGGTAGAAAAAGAAAAATACAGAACCCGTTAAGACATTAATTAGAAAATAATGGCTGGTGTCTCAACATGCCAAAGAAAATCATCCAAAAGAGTATTCTTTTCCAACACATTTGGAACATATTTAAAAAGTACTCCCTATGTTTCATTTTATGTGACCCTGTTAAACCGGGAACGGAGTTTAAGAAAGGAGTACTTTTGAAACTTGTGATCTTGAACAGCCATAACATTTATATTGCTATAAGACTTTTGAAACTTGTGGTATTAAAAATGTCATAACATTTGTTGGGTTATAAAAGCTTATCATTAAGGGTAAAATGGGAGTTTATTAAATTGCTTCCATATTAAGTAAGGGTAATTTGGAACGGGCTAAAAAGGAATTAGATCGCATAAACTGAAAAGGGAGTCATCACTTTACTTCAACTTAGATAGTCAGCTTGAATCAATATGTAGGTAAAGTTTCTTCTTAAAAAGAATACATGTAGGTAAGTTGAAAATGTAATTTCACCATATCAAGTGGATAAGTGGCTCGAGAAACAAGTAAACCCTAGTTACTTTATACTGGAAGGCTATAATAGCAAGATCTTATGTAAAAAAAAAAATTCAAAAAAGTACTCAGTGAGAGGGTATGTAATCAGGTTTCATAACAGATCATTTCAACGCATCTAAATCACAAACAGCACCAAACAAAGAGGCAACCTGCATCTTTACCTTTCTTGACATTGTACCCAGACGACCTCAAGAATGGAACCATTTTTGACTCGATCTCATCGTACCTGCATGAATCAACTGGATCAAAATTAGTTGCTAGAATATATCGGATATTGATGATAATGCACAATTCAAACAGTAGACGGAAGATCACCTTTCTTTAGACCAATTGACAGTAGGATCATCCATCTTATTTACAACAACAAGAAGCTTTGTAACTCCTAGAGTCTTGGCCAGTTGAACATGTTCACGTGTTTGCCCACCTCTTTCATATCCAGTTTCAAATTCACCCTTTCTAGCAGATATAACCTTCACAACAGAGCAGACAATGATCAACAACTACTACTACTCAATCCCAAACTAGTTGGGGTCGCCATATGAATCCTCACTGTCAATTTCGCTGTATTTGGACCCATTTCATTCCAATATTCAATAATTTGGCAAAAAGAGTTTCATATATAGATTCAATTCACACATCAAAGACTAAACCAGTATAGGCAAAAGTTCTTACCAGCACGCCTATATCGGCTTGAGATGCTCCACTGATCATATTGGGGACATAGCTCTTATGACCCTGGTGACAAATGGAGCATAATAAAAAAGTAGATGTAGAGAGAGAATGGAAGCAAAAGTTGAAGAGTACATAGATTACCAAGAAAATTACAATTTACATGAAGTTACAGGCAGAATATATTTGTAATATTGACTTATAATAGTCATGATAATTGTTTCATGATAATTGTTTCTTTGCTCCAACATTTAAAAGTTTGTTTCGAAACACTATCTATTACACCTCAAATCATTATTTATCATTTCTTTTACTTTTTTCTTTCTTCTTTTTTTTTTTTGGGTAACTAACCAGCTTTTATTAATCACCAAGTAAGAATATACAAAACCATAGTTTAACTAACTCAATAAGCTATCTAAATATCTACAGATCATCAAACCACAACAATCAGCTAACTAGAAAAGAAAAGTCAGCAGTATGCTCCTAGTTCTGATTGTTGCTCTCACATTACAGACATATGCAGCATAACGACAGAACCCTGGAAGAAACTCCAATCTTGGCCTAGTGTCAATCAGTCTATTAGTAGCTCTCTGGGATTCTAATATGGTTTCATTAATAAAATGAAAAACTAAAACTTGTCCTAACCTTTTCGACTTTCTTCTTACCATGCAGTAACTATAGGATCAAAGGCTCAAAATGACAAAATTGTAAACCAAAAGGGAAGAAGATTTAGAACATTGAAACACTGTTGAAGACAATCTCAAGAAAATGTAAAATAGGAGATGAACATCAAACTTTCACGACGACACAAAAGGAATTCATTAATGATTTAGGATCAGCATGAGACTTCTTTCTAAACCCAATTTCCACTTAATAGTGTAATTACTAAAAGAAAAGGTTTAAATAATACAAAATAGACTCTACCGCTGAGTTATATCCCTTCCCCGCCCCATCGAGAAATAGAACTGACTAATCCTAAGTCAAAGGGTCGAACTTTTGTTTAACATTTCCGGAAAGACCGCCTATTTGTCCAAGGATTGCCAAGCAGACACTCGGTTTTTAGATAAAGGAAAACTTTCTATAGATCTTTGAAACCATGGGGCAAGCAGCACCCATCATGCACATAAACTCATCACTTAATACTCATACCTATTCTTCCTGCGTACAAGGTAAACCAGAGAACGAATTAGGATTCAAAGTTACCGGGGCATCCAGAATTGTAAATCTTGTAGTATCTGTTTCAAAATGTGCTCTTCCTACTTCAACTGTTATTCCCTGAACAGAAATTCACAAACAAGAAACACACAAATGCCACTCGTAAGCAACTCCCACCAATCCCAGCCCAAGAAAAGGTAAGCTATATACCAATTTAAGTACAAAACAAATAAATAAAGAAGACAATACCTTCACCCTCTCCTCTTCATTTGTATCCATTATATAGGCCATATACCTAAAAGAAAAAAGTGAAAAGTGAAATTAAGAAGCTAAAGGAATAGCCAATAATCGATTAACGACAGAGACCAGAGAGTCATTCCAATGAAAATTTATCTTCGTTCTTTAGTAGGATTGTACATCCTACACAAACCATATACAACTTCTACAAATGTATGGATGATGCAAGTAGTTTATTAACAAAGTGGTCTGGGTTAGCCCTTGTCCACTTGTCATTGGTAATCAGTAGATTATGATTCTTACAACCATAATTCATCTAACTGATGAGATAGTATAAAAGAATCATGGTAAACCAAGCTTCATATTGAGAATCTTATCACAGGTTTTCCTAAGAACCAGGAGAACACCATAAATTGTGCAAAAAACTATACACAAGCTCCACCAATTAAGGAACACTGAAAGCATAAGTTGACTATAGTAAGCTAGTAAAACCTTACCAGCTCTCTCTGTTTTTATCCTTTGCTTCTCTCTCGTACTTCTGTATAGTACGGTCATCAACTTGACCACTAAGTAATAGTATTTGTCCTCCAATTGTTGACTTTCCAGCATCTGCAGGTGATACGGAAAACTCTTAGTTATGAATTTTTTTTTATCAGGCTTCGTAATAATTATATGATGTTCCTAAGCTAAATAATTAGATTTCATCTTGCCAGTTACCTATCAGCTTTGGGAAGTCAGTGCCAACTTTCACATAAGAAAAAGAAAGTGATCTTGCAATCTACAAACTGTGCATGCAGAAATGGCTTATACTAGTTTGAATAAGTTGCACACAGCTTACCTACTTTAACCAAAATCTCAAACATCACAGTTTTTTCTATTCCACACACGCCACACCGATATCTCAAGCAACAGCTAACTTGTGATGAAAGCAAGAATGGGGAAGGATTTAGAGCAGATAACTTTCCCTTAATAAAGAAAGATCCCCAAACACTGGCGTGCAGGAAATACACAAATTGCCAAAACATATCAGTCCTAAATTATAGAACGATGTCAGTACAAGAAAAAAATAGTATAGTAAACACTACTGAACCAACAGTTATTTAATACTCCTTTTCCTCTTCTAGCATATTATTTAGTTTGCTTTACTGTCCTTGCTATTTCGAAGAGCTATAATCGTCAAGCTTTACTATGATGACAATCATGAATCAAGCGGATAAAGAGTAAATCAGAAAATAATAAGACTTACCCACATGACCAATAAATACCACATTCAGGTGTCTCTTTTTATTGACTTCAACCTCATCTTGAATATCTTCTGGGGGTGAAGCTTCTTTGCCAGCAACACCCTTTGGCTCAACATTCTTTGGCTCCAAGTCCGGATGTGATTCATCTTTCAACTCTGAAACCAACAAAACAAAGTAAACACTTACATAACAGTTTCATTAATATGGTTTCAGTAATCTAAAGAAAATCATCTTTCTCCCAAACAATCTAAAGTCTAAATAAACCAAAACTTTCCTCTCCCTCTATTTCTTTTTCTTGATAACTTAAACACATCAAAATTCCCTAGGAGTAATGTAAAAGTAAGCCGATAATGAGCTTTGGAAACAAAAGAGTCTAGAACAACTCTCACTGAAGTGTGGCTGGCTGCTTGAAGATCTCAAAAGGAATTCTCTCAAGGTTAATTTTCATATATTCACTACCGTAAATGACGCACATCACCGGATACAAAATAGTTTTTCTGGCAATTTAGTGTCACACTAATAAGCATAGGGCATAGCCTTCCAGATAAATCTTCTTCTAAGCTAAATCAATATATATTCTCTCGCAGAAAAGAATAGAGAGAGAGGCACAAGTGGCAACAAATATCTCTTTTGACCAGTACAGCTATCACCACGCAACATTGACATCTTTCTGCAACTCAAAGCCACCACCATTTTAGGGCAGATGACCAAGCCACTTCAGTTCATTTCAGCGTGATTCTTTTCCAAACAGTCACCTCAAAAAAAGACTTCCCCTATAAATTATTTAACCAGAGTCCAAACTCTAAAATATACAGGCAGAAATTAACAGGGTGCCCATCATCCAAAAGTAACACTGAACCATCATTAGCGTCAAAATAGATACATAATCATCCAAAATAGCATTGGTGAAGCAAGATATTGTTACAGGAGAAGCATTGTTTTAAAAAGCGGAAAGTGCAACCAGGCAACAAGGTTCTTCGGGCTTGAAGCGAAGCGAGAAATGAAGTGCACACTTCTCTGAAGTAGAGTACACAGTTCCAGAAAATTAAAAAATACCAAACATATGTGAAATTTAGTACTATAATACTCACATTGCAACCAAAATAAGTGATTTCAACATATAACAACAACCCAGTAAAATAAGTGATTTCAAAGTTGAGATTCAAAGAGTCAGCCTCTTTTCATTTGAATCGCGTTGCGATCATTGCTTAAACCGCACATTTCTCTGAAGTGCATGCCGCATGGCCTCATCCATGAGCGATAACCCCATCGCTTTAAGCGATGAAGTAATGGCTTTTAATAACACTAAGAGGGAGGAACAACATGAAAGTAACGTTGAGTTCTACGCCCTAAAAAACCGGTACAAGTGTACAACGCGTATTCGAATTCGAATGGTTCCCCTTTTCATCCCCTTCTATGTATCTCCTTGCCGAAACTTTTTTCCCTGACGCGTATGAAAAAAACTTCTCTCTGAAAGGCTGCTAAACAAAAAGTCTGTCAGCCAATCACCTCTTCCTCTAATTGTTTCGCCCAGTTTACCCTCATTTTTTCTTCTTCCCTTTTCCATTATTAAAGCATTTTTTTCTGGCTGATTCTTTATGAATCAAAAGCAATCTAAACTTCTTATTTGGCATTGATATTAAGGGCCTGCTACTGCGTCAGATAACAACTAGGCCAAAAAATGCTTTAATGATGTGGATACCCCAGTCAAGAAGATCAACAAGAATCACTAACAACATAAAAGACTAAGCTCAATAAGAACCAGGTGGCACATAACCTGTTCACGAATCTACCTACCATCTTCTGGCATATCCGGTTTTTCAACATCGCCTGCCTCCCTCTCTTCCGCCATGGCACTATCCTCTACCATTTAATAAACATTCAAAAAGTCATCCATAAAGTTCCCAATATTATAAATGGAGGATATGAAAGCAGGGGGGAAAAATATATCTATATATAACAAACGTACAAGATACCAAAAAGAGATTTCAGAAAGACTATCAGCCGAAAATAACAATTGAGTCTAACAACCTTTGCTAACTTAAAACCAAGAAAAAAAAAAGAGAGAGAACTTTTTCTCTTGTTTTGGAAGAAAAGGTTGTTAAGTGTTGAAACACAAGCAATGTTTACAAGTTCTTGAAAACTTGTTGATTGTTGAAAAGATAATAAGTGATCACGAAAATCTTGACTTTGGAACTCTTGTGAATATTTTCTTGTGTGCATTACGATCCAAAGCTAAAAGCCTCGGATCTGATGAAGCCTATTGAAAAGACTGATCTGAAGGACTCTCACATTGTCACACGTACTTAACACCCCCCC